CATGGTGTTACATTACAGCAGCACTGGACAACCAAGACACTGGTGTATATACACAAGTGATTTTTGTTTGTTGATCTTGTACCCTGCAACTTTGCTAAATTCTTTTATTAGGTCTAGACATTTTCTTATGGACTATTTTGAATTTTCTATTTATTGATCATCTGTGACTAGAGATACTTTTACTTCTTCTTTTCCAGTCTGTATACCTTTTATTTTTCTGGTCTTATTAATGTATTTGGACATTAGTAGTTAATGTGAAAGTAGCTCACACCTGTGTTTATAAAATGAATTAGAAAAATAATTCCTCTTGTTTATAGGCAAAACTATGTATGATAGCTATCAGACTGATTATTCTTTTAATGGTACCAACAGCTGTACCACCCCTTTAACCTCCTTTTTAGTGTCTTTACATTGAACCTAAGACTTTTTTCCACCAGCACATAGAACCAGAATACTGGAACTGATGTTTTACCAAACTCTTAGACTTATGGCATTGGGGAGTAGGGGAAAGAGGAACAAAAGTTATCAAGTAACAGTGGGAGAGGTAGGGTAAGTCATTGTTAGGTGCCATCAGGTTGGTTCTGACTCATAGGCACCTTATGTGTAACAGAACAAAATCATGCCCGGTCCTGCACGAGCCTCACAGTTGCTGTTTGACTCCATTGTTGCAGCCCCTGTGTCAACCCACCTCACTGAGGGTGTTTTTCCTTTTGCTGAATTACTTACTCAACCAAACATGATGTCCTTCTCTGGGGATTGGTCCTCTGTGATACCATGTCCAAAGCAAGCAAGAAAGTCTCACCATCGTCATTTCTAAGCAGCATTCCAGTTATAATTCTTCCAAGACAGTTATAGGGGCATAATTTGACTTCAGCAACTTGTGTAACTTGTAATAATGTAACAGAGGAAATTTTTTTTGCTGTACTCATTGACAGATTTATCATATACTCTCATTTATTTATTCATATTCATAGTCCTAGAGTCAAGGTCACATTATATAATTAAACACATATATTCTGAAAGCACTGATATTTTGCATGTCTCATATATTCATTAAAAAAAAAAAAAAGTCTATTAAGCCTGACAATCTATTTTTCTTGGGCACCAGAGGCAAGGCAGTTTCATTTTCACTTTCTTTTTTAAAATTAAATTTATTGGAATGTGGAACTTGGAATTATTTGTAGAAGTAATAAATAATTCAGAATTGAAAGACTACATGAGGGGTATAAAAGATACCATACTGGGAAAAATATCCCAGATAGATGCAAATCAGTTCTTTAAATCATATTTAGATGCAAATGGGTAGTTGCAGAAGAACAAAGAACATATCACACACCTTCTAGATCAGTACTGGAAATAAAATGTGAACTACCACTGCTATGGGTTCACATTTGGACCCTCAAAGGAAGTACGTTCTAGGAACTGCTAGTCACACAGAAATTCTCCACAGTGGCTGATATATTGCTTTGACACTTTTCATGTTATCACTTAGCCATTCAGAAAAAAACAAAAAACCCTATATAATACCACATTAAACTAAAAAACCAAACTCACTGCCATTGAGTCAACTTTGACTCATAGTGACCCCCTTTGGGTTTTCGAGGCAGCAAATCTTTATGGAAGTAGATTGTCCAGTCTTCCTTCTGTGGAGTGGCCAGTGGGTTTGAACTGCCAACCTTCTGATTAGCAGTCAAATGCCTTAGGCACCACGCCACTAGAGCTCCTAATACCACATTTAGGTACACTGAAAGTAAAGATAAATACCAAATGTGTTTTCAAATATGGTTGTGATAAATAAAAATCAATTTAAAGAAATAGTTTAAAAAACGTACTATATTCCAGAGTCCTTTCCTCCTTCACTACATCTACTTTTGCTCTTAACATTCTGTTAGAGCAACATCATGTAGTCTGCTTAAGTAAAAGCAAGAGGTTTACTGAGGAGTAGAGATGGTCCAGACCAGGAAGACACCCAAATTCAGAGTGAATACGGCTATTCCACCAGACAATGAGGAAGAAACATTTTTGTACAGTTGGAGCAGGAACTAAAAGTTACCAATCATAACTGGCTGAAAGACAATCAAGGGAGTCAAAGGTGGAATATCTAAAAGCAAGGATTTAGCAGGGATAGGTGAATAACACATAAGTAGGGTTACGTGACTGATTAAGGATACATGACTGCAAACCCTTGCTCTTCAGTTTATTATAGGATGCTCAAAGGACAATGGCAGGACAGGTTTTCAGGTGACCAGCTGTAAAAATTGTTTCTCAATCATATCTGTTTCTGGGGGGTCCATTGTCAAGATTTATCAATGCTGTGCATCAAGACCTTTCAAGTATAGGCTATCATGTCTTGCACCCATTTGACCATAGTGGAAAGACCTGGGAATAGACTGTGATATCCGGTACCTGCCAGACCACCGAGAAAAAGAATGACTCTTTCAGGGTATAGGGACAGCACTAAGGTTAAAGGAACTGCTGTTAGAAAAATCAAACAAAACCCTATAGGACAGAGTAGAACTGCCCCACAGGGTTTCCAAGGCTAAAAATCTTTACAGATTTTCGAACCTTTACTGCCTCATCTTTCTCCCACACAGCAGCTGGTAGGTTCGAACATTTTAGTCAGCAGCTGAATGCTTTAACCACTATGCCACCAGAGCTCCTTGGTGTTAGAAAAGGCAGCTTAAAAATTTAACATGGACTCTTGACTCATGTCAAGACTTTAAAATGGCATTAAGGCTCTGCTTTCAGTTTTCTTTTTACATACACCAAGTGCTTCTGATTATAAGCTCTCATAAAATGCCATTTTCTGTAACTTTACTCCCATGATTTTCCTTGTGTCGTTGGGTAGGCTCAATGGGCAATGGTGTGATTCTTACCTCAAGGACTACATATAAGAAAAAGCACTGAGCTGGGAGTCAGAAGACAAATGTTATAACCCTGACTGTGTCATTAAATAGGTTTGTGACACTGAAGGAAATAACTGTTGTTGTTGTTGTATGTGCTGTCGAGTCGGACCTGACTCATAGCGACCCCTCCTTGGGTTTCCAAGGCAGTATCGCTACGGAAGTAGACTGCCCCATCTTCCTTCCGAGGAGTGGCTGGTGGGTTTGAACCGCTAGCCTTCTGGTTAGCAGTCAAGTGCCTTAGGCACTATGCTACCAGAGCTCCACTGAAGGAAACAACTAAGCACTTTAAATTGTTCTTGTCTATGAAATTGAAAATAGGAGAAAATTGAACTAGAGAATGTATAGGGTTCCCTTCAGTTCCAATTACCACTAGTCTTTCTTTTCAAAGTGGAATAATCTGTAGCATAAAGCTATGTTGGTATGTCAGTCAGGACATCCTGGGACTCTCTGTGTTGCTCCCTTTTGATCTGGTGACAGACAATGAATTGTGAGACTACGCAGATATCAGCAATGTAGTTGGGAGTAGATAATGAAACTGGCAGGATTGATGGATGAGATTAGCAGAAAGGAATGATATACTTCTTTCCATGGCCCTAACACAAAGTTGTATCAGACTGTGAAGGAGGTCATTTCATAGCCCTAGCAGGAACTGAGTATGGATGCAGAAAATGCTAAAAGCTGCCCAGACAATGGACTTTTTATCCATAACTGCAGAAGCATATATTCACTTTTCCATGCTAGTTTTTCAGGATAGAAGTCCTGTTAAGTGTACACTGATTCCTATCTCCTGGTTTGGTAACCAAGAATCTATCTATAGAGAATTGTGATGCATCGATAAAGATAGCATTACAGAAGGAAGACATTTACCATATATTGTTATCCTTAATTATAAAATTAAGCTTTCAAAGTACTTCACATATTTTCCATCTGAGCCCTCTAACTCTAAAAGGTACTGAAGACAGTTATTAACATTCACAGATTACAGATGAAGAATCTCAGAAAGATCAAGTAGCAGCTTTGGATTCAAAAGTCAGATGTTTGTAAATGATGGTCAGGCCCAAGTATTCTAACTGCTAGTCCAGTGCTTTTTTCAAAATGCCCCCATGTCCTCTGAAAATGCATGATGCTGATAAGAGACCTTGTAGATGGATCAGTGTACCACATCTCCACTCTCAGCATAACAATGAATCTGGATGCTCTTGCTCAGACCTCTGGAATCAGTGACTTAGAGCTGACTGACAGTCTCTGAGATGCTGAGCCATAAGGCATAATGCGAGAGGCTGGTACAAATATGCTTATGGCACAAAACAAAAGCATTTTTCACAAATACCTGGTGATGAAAAGGATAGCTGGCAGTACACTGGCCTTGACACATACCGATAAAGCAATCATGGTCATCATGTCTTTTGGCTATACTTTTGGAACATGATTAAATAAGTGTGCTTAAAGTTTCTTATCTCTTTTTTAAGAAAACCATTGTTGTTGTTACGTGCTGTTGAGTGGGACCCAACTCATAGTGACCCCGCCTTGGGTTGCCGAGTCAGTATCACTACAGAAGTAGCTTGCCCAACCTTTCTTCTGAGGAGTGGCTGGTGGGTGTGAATCGCTAGCCTTCTGCTTAGCAGTCAAGTGCCTTAAGAACTATGCTACTAGAGCTCCTGGAAAACCATTAGGTACATTCAAAAGGGTCACCCACAATACTGTTTAGAATTTAAATGCACAAGAATTTTTTAAGTGTTCCAAAAATGTCTGCATAATTCTAAAGTGCTAGTCACTTATCAATTATTTTCCTTTAAACATTTCCTTTAACTCTGTTTTCTAAAGTAAAATTATTTGACAAAAATAATTTTTTAATATGGATTATACCAAAATTTAAGATTAATTTTTTTTCATTCAGATCCACAGTTTGCAGAATTTGAGACCAAACACTAGTCTAAAATTTTTACATTTAAACTTTAAGGCATTTTATTCAGTATATAAAAACTTATATTTCCATTTACATAATTTTGTTTTTCATGGAAATAAATACCTTGGCTGCATACATACCACTGAGAACATTGCTTAGGCTTACTTTATTACAACAGGGTACCAGTTTATATACACATGAAGATGTTTAACCACTTTATATGAAATAGCTTTAGTTTGTGCAGATGTGGCATTATTTAAATAACTTCTCTACAGACAATAGGAACGTCACTTCAAATTCTTGGTCGGAGAATCTGTGTACAGATGCACGAGCATTTTTTCTGATCTGGAGTCTCGTTTCTGCAGACATGGTAAGAATCTGAGCCATTGTCTCTGCGTAGGTGTCTTCACTCTCAGCCAGAAATCCAGTTACAGCTCCTTCTTGGGGAACTACAATGTCAAGCTTTGGGCCCCCTGAATTATGTGCAAGGATAATTGTGCCAGCTGCCATGCACTCCACAACTCCTGACAAAGAAACAGAAAACACATAGTCTTTTGATGTTCAGTTCATAAGACAGTTGAGCAGAAACTTAAAAAATATTCTGTACATCTCTAAATTTACTCATTTAACCTTCATGATTTGTTGTTGTTACGTGCTGTCGAGTCAGACCGGACTCATAGCGACCCCTCCTTGGGTTCCAAGGTGGTATCACTACAGAAGTAGATTGCCCAACTTTCCTTCCGAGGAGTGACTGGTGGGTTTGAACTGCCAGCCTCCTGGTTAGTAGTCAAGTGCCTTAGGCACTATGCTACCAGAGCTCCAACTTTCATGATGGAAACTAAAATAATGTTGAGATTTTTAGTATTTAAGGCTGCGTAGGAATGCTGCTTCAGTTTTAAGAAGAGAGGCCTGGCAATCTGTTTCTGAAAGATCACAGCCTTGTAAACTCAGGAGCAGCTCTACTCTGTGCACAAGGGGTCACCATGAGCTGGAGTCGAATCAGCAGCAACTAACAATGACAAAAAGATCGGAAGGGAGTAAAAAAATCAAAAGCAAAATCTTAAGAGTTCAAATTACAGCATTAGCCAAAAAAAAAAAAAAAAATGAAAATGTCAACAACTTTAGGGAAGTATATTATTGCCTACTTAACTACCTGAATTTCTAAGAAATCTGAGACTTTTGCAGGTCCGATGGCAGTGTTGGACTAAATGGAAGTACTGGATAAAACCATGACCATAGAGTTTATTCTGACTCATAGGCAGAACTGCTTCAAGGAGTTTCCAAAGCTGTAATTTTATGGGAGTAGAGTGCCACATCTGTCTTCTGCTGAGCAGCTGGTGGGTTTGAACCGCCAAACTTTGAGTTAGCAGCTGAGTGCTTAACCACTGCATCACCAGGGCTCCTGGAAAGTTTCTGCCAAATGATATATGTAAGGGCAATATTACCCTAACTAGCTTTCCTAAACCTATTCCTAGAAAATTAAGGCCATCAGAAAATTTTTATTTTCTCAATTCTCTGAAAGATAGTGCATGCCTGATAGCATTCTAGATCTAGCACAGAAGTTAAGTCATAACTGTTTCTGTAACACTGTCAAAACGCTTATGGAACATATTCTGTTCAAGGCTGGACAAGACCCTGTTATGGATTGAATTATGTCCTCTAAATATATGTGCTGTAAACCCTAACCCCTGTGCCGGTGGTTATAATACCATTTGGCAATAAGTTGCCTTTGTTATGTTAATGAGGAAGGTGTTTCTTGAGTCAATCTCTTTTGAGATATGCTGTTGTTATGTGCGGTCAAGTTGGACCCAACTCATAGCAACCCCTCCTTGGGTTTCTGAGGCAGTATCACTACGGAAGTAGATTGCCCCATCTTCCTTCCGAGGAGCGGCTGGTGGGTTTGAACTGCCAGCCTTCTGGTTAACAGTCAAGTACCTTAGCCACTATGCTACCAGAGCTCCCCCTTTTGAGATATGTTGTTGTTGTTGTTGTTGTTATGTGCCG